AATGAAGGGTAAACTTTTGGAGGAATGGGCTTGTAAGTTAAGTTGTTGAATACAAAGTTGACATTCTGAAATGTAACCCCCTATACCTAATTTTAAAAAGGGATAGCAACTGGAAACACTGGACTCCAGGACAGACGACCAATTCAGGACCAGTGGTGGGAGTGGCGATGCCTGGAGAGTGGAGGGAATATGGGGTAGAAAAGGGGAACCGATTACAAGAAGCTACGTAGAGCCTCCTCCCTGGGGAATGGACAGCAGAGGGTGGGGGGAGATGCTCAACAGTGAACATATGACAAAATAATTATAATTTATGAATTATGAAGGGTTCATGAGGGAGGGGGGAGAGGGAAGGGAGGGAGAAAAATGAGGAGCAGATATTAAGGGCTCAAGCAGAAGGCAAATGTTTTGAGAATGATGATGGCAACAAATGTACATATGTGCTTGACACAATAGATGTATGTGTGGATTGTGATAAGAATTGTACGAGCCCCTAGTAAAATGATTTTTAAAAGGGAGGGGGAAGCTGGGTTTATTGATTCACATAGTTAGAGTTGAGTGCCTTTAGGCTTAGACTTCTGGTAGAGTGGCATGCACTCTGGGCATTTACTGGCAGTCGGAAAAAAGCCCCGAAACATTGGACAAGCAGTGCAGAGGCCAGGCCAAGTGGCTGGGGGTTAGAGAGAGGTGGCCGGCAAACATGGCAGAGAAGAAAATGCCCTGACTAAACTACCGTATCTTGAGGATTTCTCACCTGAAATGTAACCTGTTTAACTTTCCTAATACAGCCCATAATCATAAGCATTTTCTGTGAGTTTTGTGCGGCCATTGCTATGAATTATTGTAAAAAGGAGCTATGTGAGGGACGGCTGGTGTCAGAACAGGATAAAAAGGGATGGAAGGTGTGGGCCTATGTGACATCTACCTTGTGGCAATGACCCTGAGAGCCAGAAGAGGTCAGATGTGACCCCTATAAGGAAAATTTAGAATCAAGGATTCTTTTTGAAAATGAATCTGTATACAGAATGTTCTCTGAACATTTCCGACTTAACTGAAAATTGCTCATATTCACCGTTTAGAAAAACCCAACACATTCTTTTTGAGTTATCTGCTATTATAATTGGCATGCAAATAAACAATGTTGAGGATGGTGAAGGACCAGGCAGTGTTTCATTCTGTTGCCCATAAGGCCATGGGGTTGGCACCAACCCAAGGGCACCTGACAATAAATAAAAGAGCAATACATGCTCATTGTCATTATGTAGACAATTGGGAAAAAAATAATACAGATATGATAAATACCAGTAATTACACACCCAGATGAAACACTGTTAATATTTTAGAATATGTTTTTAGACTTTTTCTACATATAATATTCATACTCTAAAATTCTGGATCAAATATATACCTGAAAATACAACCTGTATTTTCCCATAATTCTACCTTATGGACATATTTTGAAATTAATATAGAACTATATAACTTCATCATTTCAAAAGCTACAAAGCAATGTATAATTTATTTATTCAACACTTAGGAAGAAATTTACCTTTCAATTTTTCAAACCATAACACCACATAATGAACAACCTTGTATAAATATTTTTTGTTCTCTAGGGTTAAGTTCTGAAAGTAAAATTCACCATTCTTACAAAATACACACATACACACTCAAACACATACATATATATTTAGTTCTAGTTTCAATGTCATTAAAAAAGTTTATAAAGTGTACATGATTAAGATATTTCTGATGTTATTTGTCTACCATCTCCCCTCTGTACAAGTAACTTTTTCCCTCCAACATTTTAACTTCATATTTTGTTGCCTATTTGTTTATCTCTAAATAATATTTCCACAGTTTTTCTTATGTTATGTACTTTAGAAATGATGTGCTTTCTTTTATTACAGAGTTGCTAGAAGAAAATTTCCCTAACATCATGAACAATGGTATGCATAAAAAGCTGAATGGGCCTCAAACAGGAGCTATCCTAAAATTACATTACCAAGACATACCATCATCAAACTTTCCACAACCAAAGACGAGTTAGAATCCTAAGACAAGGTCAGGAAAAACAGAAAGTTATTTACAAAAGAGGACCAATAACACTAAGTTCTGATTTTTAGGCAGAAGACCATGCAAGCAAGAAAACAACAGGATGGTACATATAAAACTCTGAAAGAAAGAGAAAAAACTGTCAACTCAGCAAAACTTTCCCTCAAATACTGTGGTGAAATTAGGACCCGTGCACATAGAGAAACGAAGGAACTAGGTAAAACCCACACCATTCTTACAAGATCGACTAGAGAGTTCTCAGATGAAGAAAAACGGCAGACAGTTACCTGAGGCGAAACACACTTCACATCGCCATCACCACCGAGGTCACCCAGACGCGGAAGCATCCCAGTGAAAGAAAGACTTAGACTGGAAGCAGGGAGGGGGAGAAGGGAGAATGGGGACCGAGAGCAGGGAGGCGTGGGACAAGTGGCGGCAAACCGAGGGGATGGCGGCAGATGAGTGCGAATTGTTGAATGTAAAGCTGATGTATCATCTGTAAGCCTCCACCAAAGTCACAAAAAGTTTCAAAAAGTTAAAAAAAAAGGGGGCTAGAAATAGGGAACCAGGTGTATCAATGAGTAATGAAGACTACAAAGTAAAAAGAATAAATAAATCCTAAAAAAGACTAGGCTTTCTGATCGGACAGAGACCAGTGAAATCCGAGCCTCTGGTTGGTCATCCTTGAGATCTGGAACAGAACTCAGTCCTCTGGCTCCATTTTCAGGCAAACGGGTCTCCAAAGAGAATAGAAACACTACTGATGTATGCACAGCTTCGTATAGTTGACCACTCGGGACCAAGGGGCAGCATTTACTGAAGGATAAAGTTCAGAATGATTAGGAGAGGAGGACTGGGGTCAGAAAACACAGGGAGAAGGCTGGACAGGTGATGCTACATTGCAGGGAACGCAGCAAATTAGAAGATACAACCTGTGTATGAATCATTAAATGTACACCTGGTCATCTGTTGTATAAACCTTCACCCAATCCACAGTAAAGTTAATTTTTTAAGTGTACCTAGGAAAATTATTGCTTTTTAACAATTTTAAAGTGCAAATAAGGAACATTACTTTCACCTTGTTGAGCAACTATTGCCATCATTCACATACACTTTTCACAATTCAGATGCAGCCTTTCAAAGAGAAACTCAGTACCTCATAAGCAATCACTCTCCATTCCACTTTCTCTTTAGCATCTGGTAATCAATAAAACCATTTTGCCCTGATATATTTGCCTGTTCTATATATATCCTATTAGTGGGAGCACAAAATAATCAGGGATTTTTTTTGTGTGTGTATGAGACATCAGTTACCATAATGTCATAGGATCTATCAGAATCTCATTTCTTTATGTCTGAGTCAAAGTTCCAAGTATGAATCTATCCCATTTTGTTTATCTATTTGTTCATGATACTTCAATTGGTCCCATGTTTTGACTACTGTGAAAGCTGCTATTAACTTTGATGTACAAGTATCAGAATTGCCGACATAAATTATTTTCGTATTGTGGGAGTTACATAATCTCACATCAACTTGCTCAATAGAGTGAAGAGGTGGAGGCTAGCCTGTCAAATAGGACACAGCTTGATGATGCTTTCTGGTGGGTGTGGCCTTCTCATGAGGATTCTGGGAGTTTCCTCTCTCTGCTTCACATTCCTGTTGACAAGTCACATGGAATCACGCTGATGGCCAGAGCCAGAGCCCGAGAGTCCACTACCATTGGATCCATAGGACTTTCCACCCACTGGCCTGTGATCTTCCTGCACTCGGCATCATCGCACGTACCGTGTGAGTCTGAAGAGGCATTCGTGGGCCAATATCAAACTAATGGATTTGATCTGGATTGGGCTGAGATGTTTTATTGAAGCATAATTACTTCTTGATATAAGTTCTCTCTTACACATACGAGTGTCAATGAATTTGTTTCTCTAGTCAACCTAGTCTAACACAGGTATATACCTAGGAGTGGAATTGGGTAATTCCAGGTTCACTTTTTGAAGAACAGCTATAATGACTACACTCTTTTTGTCTTCCCACCAGCAATAGTTTCTAATGATTTCATATCCAAGGACCAATGCTTGCGATCTTCATTATTTTTCTAATAACGATCATCCTAATGTGTGTGAAGGTTAAGGACTAATGCCACGTAGAATCGAGGATGGTCAAACTCCATCTCATGGACTTCCTGAAGGAGGACATCATTCTTGGTAAAGTGGAGGGGCAGTAAAAAGGGGAAGACCCCAAGTAGATGGAGTGACGCAATGGCTGCACGCACACGCACAAACATAGCAACTGTGAGGACAGCGCAGGACCAGGTGGCATTTGCTCAGCTGTAGGGTCACTGTGGTTTGGAATCAACCTCACAGTACCAAGTAGCAACAAGAACAGGACTAGTGATGCTGGGCCTCTTTTCACTCTGCTTGTCATCAGTGTATCTTCTTTTGAGGAATGTCTATTCAGATTCTTTACCAATTAAAGAATTCTTTATATATTCTCAATATTAAACTGTCTCCTCAACTTCCGGTAATAAAATATTTTAAATGTTTTTATGAGAAAAATGGGGCTAGCACTGTTTCTGTTTAAAGCAAAAAACCTCCAAAAAACAAATCAAAAAAATCAACAAAACAGAAAGCAAGCAATACAACGTAGGTAAACTATTCTAAATGAAGAACAAGCAAGCAAACATAATAAACCAAACTATACCTTTTGTTTACATTTTGCTGCTTAAAAGGTTATTTTGATAGGTTCTGCTAAATATTTTAGGAGCAGTGAAAATCAGATAGGTTCTTATAAAGAACAAGTACAAACTAATTTATCAGAAATTTGTCTTATCCCATAACATTTAACATTTGATAAGTTAAAATGTTTATTTCCTTCACAGAAATAAAAATGAAAAGTCAAGCACATATTTCTGAATATAAGATTCTGTGAATTTCAGATGACTCACGGGTGTTCCTGGTGCTACCCGGGACACGATCACAGGCATCTTCTGATCATATCCTCCCTTACAAAGAGAGCAGTTGAGAATATTTAGTCAAATATTGCTGAAGATTCAATTTGAAAAAACAAGCAAACAAAAAAAACACCCAACAACAAAAACTGAGTATAATATGAATTGTAAATCACCTTTACATTGAATCCAAATCTTCCATTTTCATCAGGTTTCATTCTGATTAGAACAAGATTATCATGTGGAATACCACCATTTGGCTTAAGAAGACAACAACAAAAAACAATTTTATTAATTTATGATTTGTCCTTCAGGTATTCTCAAAGCATCCTTTTTATGCTGATATTATTTATGATAAATAGGAAACCATAATTTAAATTAAAATGCTAGTTCAGTAAAGTAAATTTCCTTGAATAATTTATAGTTCGCTAAACTATAGATAACTCTCTCATGTCTTCTTGCTACTGCATGCTAGGAGGAGCAGTTATGTCTTTATTAATTGCTATAGCCCTAGATTCTTGTTCAAAGCTTAACATGTAACAAGAACGCACAGGTGTTATGTGAACTAATAGGTTGTTCCCTCAGCTTCCTAAGTGCGATCCTTTCTCTGAGATATATTTGACTATAAAATTTACTCATTTAGTGCTGAACTATTTTTGCTTAGAAAAAGAGTTGGAACAAGTTTTAAAGAAAAAGTGTTGGAACAAGTATTATGCTGTGTTTCTCTCTCTCTCTCTCTGCTCTGTCTTAAAGGGCAGCTGAGTCAGACTTGACTTGGAGTGTGTGTGTTCCTATTCTAACATTCCCAAATGGTCAAAGGCATTCCTCTAATCATTTGAATATTGCAATTAAAATATGATCTATAGTTTAAAAAAAAATTTACTCATTTAAAAGGAAAAATTCAATGATTTTTACCATTACTACAATAAGTTTAAGAATATTTCCATCACCGCAAAAAGAAATCCTGTATTCCTGAGTGGTCAGTCACTTTTCCCTCTCCTTCAACTACCCTAGTCCTAGTTAATCACTCATCTACTTCTTTCTCTCTAGATTTCCTTTCTCGGAATATCTCATGTAAACAGAATCACACCTTATCTTATGGTCTTTTGTGACTGGTTTTCCCTTTCATGATTCATAAGTGGTGTCAGAGGAGGAGTATGATCTAGGGTTAAGAGGTGTGCCTGAATTCCTAATGGGACCAGGACCAGCACTCGCCATTTTATAACACGAGCCCTTCCTCCCACAGCGGACTCTACGTTTCTGTTGGGCTCATGTCTGCACAGAACTCACAGACCACAGCAAGTTAGTACTGAAGTCATGGGCTACGACTTGGGCACTAGATTAGGAAGCTCACAAGAGACGTTTCCAAGGCTCCTCTGAGGTGCCGAGCATCCCTCTCCATTAGTGCCCGGGCCCTCCACCTTTGGCCGCCTGCTGTTGGCCTTGGGGTTGCTAACTGGCCTGGCTCATGGCTACTTGCTCCTCGTCCTCTGCCATTAGGTCCTTTCCCAAGCCTTCTGTGGTCCTCAGTGCTACCCCACTGACTTGAATTATAGCTCTTAAAGGAAGTTCCTCTTGAGGGAAACTTTAGGACCAAATCTATCTGCTCTACACTCTTCTTAGTCTCGTGGTTTGTTCCTTCCCTGCCACATCTCTTTAATATGCTCTGTGGCACTGAGATGAGCAACTCTTTGTTAACTTCAAGACATGACCATCTCATCAGGACCACCGAAAGACCAATCCTCGTGGTGGACTGCAAGTCATTCAGGACTGCAGGGTGAATTCTCATGCCACTATTTGAAAAGTAAATCTACCAATTTCAATCGCTGCAGGGTATGTAAAATTGACCAATCATAGGACAGACAGCAGGACAAGGCTAGACAAAAAGTATGAAACCATGAAGTATGAAGTACTGAAAAATGTAAAGCGTACACAGTAAAAGTTAATTACCCAAGGAATAGCCTGTAGTAAGCTCTCTAAGGTAGAAATCAACCTGGGAAAGTCTTCTTTTCCAGTTGTTTCTCCAAACAACGATGGCAAAAGTGAACTCCACAGGGTTTAGGAAAAAAAATTCCAAGAAGCATTTCCAAAGGAGCAAGGCAAAAGTTACATAACGAGATTCATGTCATTATAAGCTATAACTAGCTGATTTATATCCATCCTTCAAGATACAGGTCAGCAATGATCTCTTCTAGGAAGTCTTCTCTTAATCTCACAGCTAAATTATCACTCCTATATATTCCAGAGCTATCCTATAATTATTTCTAATTTTACAACCCAACATATTGCATTCATGTGTCTCCCTACTTGCTCTGGGTCCCAACTCCTCTCAAATACTCAAGGATATTGCTATAAAAATTCGTTATTTCCTGCATTATTGATTTCTCCCATGTATTAGGGTAAGTCTTAAGTCTCTCATTAAAAAAAATAACTTTCTCTAGACTCCTTTTCCCCATCCAGCTATTGTCCCATCTCTTTCCTCTGCTGCTAAAGTTCTTTGAAAGAGCTGCTGAATACTTGTTCATTTTCTCTGAATCTCGTTGTATCTTTTAATTATGGAGAAAATGTACACAAGTCAACTCGACAATTTCTATCTGCATAGTTCAGTGACTCTGACTGCATTCTTCCAGAACCTATTCTCATTGTCCGTTCCCAAATTACCCTACCTCCACTGGCATAAACCCAATGCCTCTAAGGAAAAGCTTTTTGGTCCCCTCATCCCCACCACTGGGTAACCATAATCATCGCTAATCCTTGTGGTCATATATTTGCTCATTTCATAAAACTGAGATCATAAAGAACTTGTCTTTTAGGTACCTGGCTTATTTGCTCAGTAAGATATTTTCATAGCTTTCCCATAATGTGGCGTGGCATGCATCAGAACTTCCATTTCTTTTCATGGGTGAGCACTATTTCATGTAATGTATCTACCACAGTTTGTTTAGTCAGCATCACCTGATGCTGGACAGTGGTTGTGAAAAGTGCTGCAATGAACTTGTATAGGTTTCTGTTTGTGTTCCTGCTTTCACTTATTCCCGCTATGTTTGAAGGAGCTTCAAAAAGTTCGGGGAAAATGAACTTCAAAGATAATGAAAAATTTCCATGAACTTTTGGAAGCCTTGGGGGTACACTGGATGGGGATTGCCAGATCATATGGTAATTCTAAGTATAATTTTAAAAAAGAAATCCCAATTATTCTACAGTAGCTGTACAGTTTTACATTATTAACAAAGGATGAGAATTCCAGTCTCTCTACAATCTCCTAAATATTTGTTTTCTACTTTTTGGATGTTTTTTATATTTGCCATTCTAATGGTGGTGAGGTGCTATATAAATCATTGTATTGGGGGCTCTTACAGCTTTTATCAAAATTCATACATACATCCATTGTGTCAAGCACATTTGTATATAGGTTACCATCATCATTTTCAAAACACTTTCTTTCTACTTGGTATCAGCTCCTCATCCTCTCTGTCCCTCCTCCCCTCCCGGTGAGGGGATATGATACTGAAGTTTTAATTTAGATCTCCCTAATGGCTAATGGAGTCCTGGTTGCTGACCTCCAGGTTGGCGGTTTGAACCTATAAGCCACTCTGGAGGACAAAGATGAGGCTATCTAGTCCCACAGAGTTTCAGTTTTGAAAACTCACAGGGGCAGTTCTAGCCTGTCCCATCTGTCTGGTAGGTCCCTGTGCATCACAATCTATGTGCTGCAAGGTCTGGTGGTACGGTCTGGCGAGCACTGGCTTGCTAACTGAAAAGTGGTCAGGGCAAACTCCCCAGAGGCTCCCGGGAGAAAGCTGAGGGTATCTGCTCCTGTAAAGCTCTACAGGCTGAGAAACCCTCTACAGAGGCCACTGATTAGAACTGACTTGATGGCAGTGGCTTCGGTTTTTAAAGGGCTGTTTGTTTTTCTGTTGTTAAATTGTGGCAGTTATATATTGTTTTGATATTAAACCTTTTTGGATATATGGGTCCCCCCAATTATTGTTCCAATCTGCTGGTTGTCTTTTCATTTTTTATAAGTCATTTACTGAACACAATTATTTTTTAATTTGCTTAGAACATGACACCTCACAACCAGTGTGTGCTGCTGCTAGAGCGGTACTGCTAAAACTTAGGGAACATCATGTTACTGTTGTCTTCAAATAGATTCATTTGTATCTTACTAAAGAGTTAAAAAACAAACTTCTTACAGTTGAAGGCTCTTAAAACCTGGCTCTCTATTTTACCCGAATTCTCCTCTTTGGCTCTTTTTATTCAATTCTCTGATTCCCTTGGTGTTCCATGACCATGCCAATCATACTCCAGTCTTTGCACAGGCTGCTGCTAGGCAGCTTATCAGTAAATTCACTCACAGCTCACACTAACTGAAGTTGCAACTCTCCTCCTGAAAACCCCTAGATCTCTTCCTGTTTTGTTTGTCTCCTTAGCACTTATGTTAGTGTGGAATACATGTATTTACCTTACTATTTGCCTCATTTTTATCTACCCTGTTATATCCACTTTATAGTTCATGCTAAGCTCCGTAAAGGCAAGGATTCCACCCCTCCATTTTACACCGTTACATACCCAGAGTCTAAAAAACCACACGCTACATAACAAGTACTCAGTAATTAATTTTCAATGAATACATAAACACACTAGATTGCAAATTATTTACTAGAGGTCAATGTCTTACTTGTCTTTTCATTTAACTATCTACTAAGCTGTCCAAAACAAGAATTCAAAATTAAGAATTAATGGATGCATGAATCAAGGAGCCAAAACAAACAAAAGTTACCACACTGCTAGCATAAAAGTTTCCATTCATCTTTGGTAAACATTCTGAACTTCTTTTGAGGTATCTGTGCTAGTAGAAATAATGGGTACAGGAGAAGAGAGATTGTAGTAACCCACCAAAATTAACCCCAATTTAACTATAATGTATTAGTTAAGTGTGGCCATTTTGGCACTGTAACTATGCCGTGTTAATTAGCCTGAGGGTAGCCATTTCGTACTGCTCCAAGTGTGGCCATTTTGCAACTACTGTCATTCTTTTTGTAACTGTTATTTTCTCTAACTGTTGAGTCGTTGCCTTTTATTTTTGAAATTGCTGATATTGCTTGTAAACCCTTGCTTTATTTTTATAAATTCCTATTTTTCCACATAGCATGATGCCACATGCCCTTGTGCCTTGTTTATTCTAGAGTAAAAATACACCCTTCAATAAGCACTCAGAGTCAAGGGAGACTCAGGCTCTAGCTGTTAACGTTAAAGTTACGTGTGAGTTCACTGATCTCGTTCAGACACAACAAGATGACACATAACTTACACAATGTGAGCGGGCTATTGGTGGAAAGTGAGAAGCAAAGAGCAGAGTTGAACAAGCACCACAAACTTCTTACACTACCTCTGTCAATACTGCTGTGGATCCTTCTCTCGCTTACTTTATTCTTACCGTGTCTTTAATTCCCTTTCCTGAAGCCTATCTGTTCTTGTCTACCTATATAATTCCTCATGAACGCAATGCATTTTAATACTTTACTCACAACCTCAAGTTTGCTTTATTTAAATCTCCTTGGAAAAAGCAATGAAAGTTCATAAACCAGGGGATTCTAACAATTTAACATTTTGTAATCATAAAAGCAAACATGCAAAATAATTCGTAAATATATTCTGTAGAACAGAGTGCTTACATACACGAAAAGCATGTACTCATAATACAAAAGGTCAATGAAAATTATAAAGCCTCAGCACTAAACGAAGTATGTAGTAGTTACATCATTTAATGATTTATGAGCATGTTTTGGAAATGTGGGTGTGCTGAACAAGATGAAAACCAACATGAATTGTCATGAACTTAACTTCTAGAGCAGTAAGTTTTAAAATAAATGGTGATGAAGGAAAATCCCACAATTGTTCTGCACCACAGCACAGTTCATGATCACACAGTTTGGGGACAAATAAAAAAAGTACTGCAATATAATTTACAGCTAAACAATGTCACAAGTGCAAGAGAGATTACATTTAGGATTAAAAAAATACTCAGACATATATGAGACTATGTGGAAAAGGAACTTACAGTAGATTTTTCTGGAGAAGATAGAACATCAAATGTTTCACTGATATGATTTTCCAGATCTTGTTGAGAGTGTGAATGGTCAGTTTGGTTCCAACTGTTTTTCTTAGATTGTTTGGGTGGTAAAGCTGGAGGCTGCCCATCACCAGGTGTCTCTAGTGACCTAGATAAGAAAACAGGAAAAGAGTGGCTATTTTAGAAGTTATGTTATCAAAGTGCTATTTTAAAAGGTAGAGTTAAATACCTGTAAATATTTTCAATATTTAATAGGAAACAGGTTTAAAAGTATTGTTTATGTGTACATGATCTTGGAGTATAGAAACACTATTCTACAAAGTATAAAATGAGCTATTTGGGGTATTATTGCTTTAGAGAATGTGCTTTCATCACAGCAAACTGGTAGGTTGTTAGAACCCACTTGGTTTGTGAATGTTAATAAAAATACTGGAGTTTAAGTAACCAAGCAATCACCTACCATGCCACCAGACCAATTCTGAGTCACAGCCCATACAGGACTGTACACCTTGAAGTAGTAAATTTCATGTCCTAGTTTATCAAATCTGTAAACAATTTCTACCTAAAAAGGGCATCCTTATGACAAGACAGTCACAAATTATAACAATGTAAATTTTTTTCAAAAAATCAATGTTTAAAAAAGTTTTCAACAGTCATGAGTAATCAAATCGAACAGACAAGAAAAACCCAAATTAAGAGTTGGGTTGTGCCCCAGATAAAACAGTGTGGGCTATTTCAGCTGTAAATTAGTGTAAAACCTACAGAACTTAAGTGGTTCCCGAATCGACTGACAAATAAAACACACTAGGACAAGGACTAGAATCTGCTGAAGCGTGTTGAGAGCATCAGCAGTGGAGAGGAAAGAGTGGCTGAGTACATCGCTGAAGGCGAAAGCAGAAACCTCATTAACGTTAGACACACACACACACACACACACACACACACACACACACACA